TACACGTTCCATTCACTTCTATCAAATTATACTAAAAAAACAGATTTTCATCTCAGCCAAACAGTGGCATAATCTAATCTTTTATATTTTTACCTCTCCTCGCTACAAGAAAAATGGCTTTAACAACATGCACATGTACGTTACCATCTTTGATGTTATCGAAAAGTAGATGGATATGACAACGAACATGCATGTTACTAAAGATTGAAATTGCATTGGTTTGTGAGAAATTGGGGGCAGCAGTTTGTGCCTAGCTATCTTCTTCCTCTTTGTGAGCTAAGTGAAGCAATCGCCTCTTTCTTCTCTTCTCTTTGTGAGCTACCACCTCCATTATTCTTTGTCTGTTTGAGAAGGCTCTATGTGAGCAACTCATCTTGGACAACCTTTGTGGTGTGTGGATTTAAATTGAGCTCTAGCCTCTAAACGACTAAATCTTTGTGGTCATCAAAGGTGTTGTATTTTGCACACATTGAAGTTCTTGTTGGTGTATACTATTCAACATAAGTAATGGTCTTAACAGTGTTCGGACAGTGCTGCATTGTCAAAAATAAGCACTCTTGTCTTTGCTTCAATTATTAAGCAATGATATACGTTTAAGACAGCTGATTCGTGAAAGACAAAGGTTTGAGTGAATATTTACTTTGAGTTAAACTTCATGTGTTTAATTGTTTAACCTAATCTAGAACAAATTCAAGTTTTCTCTCTTGAACGTGTGTGCATGTGTGTCTTGGAGATTCCTGGATCTAACTATTGTTTAAATATTCACTTAGTTCGAGTAAAATCCAATTTTTCCGAATCATACATTTCATAAAATTATTTTTATATACCAATGTAGCGCCTATTTGATCCACATTTTTTAAAACTCACATTTCATGAGATTCACGACTTTTATCAACTTTTCAACTACATATTTTATCAACTTTTATCAAAATCTATTTAAAATATAATTTTTATCTAAGGGAAACAAGGGCTTAATCTAATTTGACAATCTTTTGCGGCATGAAACCTCGTCTTCGGCTAACAGAAGGCAGTGGGATGGTGTTCCATTTTCATGGAAAGTAAACAAGAAGTATGAAGGGATAATCTTTAATTAAAAACGGCCAAAGTCGTCAAATTTAGGCAAGTTAGTTCTACTATATCATTTAGAGAGCCCTAAGACACTCGAGCTGAGACTCGTGTTCAAATTCTAGACTTGGTTCGGCTAGATCTTTTAGCTTGTGGACCTCACGGGGCAAGCCAACTTCTCTCTCTCTCTCTTTCTTTTTTTTTTTTTTAAATAAGCCCATAAAGGAGCAATATTCTTAAAGAAAATATATGATAAGCTCAAAACGAGTAAAAAACAAGCGGGCTTGTGATTTCACTAGTCAATCCCACTCGGCTCAAATTAGCACACATCTCAAAACAAATTTGAACTGAGACGAGTCTGCAAGTTGACAAATAGCTTGACATGTTTGTCGCCCTTAATATCATTTGAAGAACGACATCATCCCTCACAAAATTCAACAAAATTCTATTTCAACTATATAATATTAACTAATTGTCCTTCACGGCGTTAATTCGAGTTTGAACACTTAAAGATAGTGTGAGATATTGTTGATCTCTTTACTTAGAAAATGGATTTAAATGAATTATCTCTTGAACTTTTGGTTCGAATGATATTTCACAAAGATTTAGATGGTGATGCATTTGTACATTATTTTCAACTTCTTAATTTCTCCCCTTAATAGTGAGAGCATTGTCCAATCAAATTGACAATCATTTTTACTGCGTTATAAAATATTACCTACTTGGGATAAGGGTTCAAATTACTCATTTATTCTCAACATTCTTTACTTTCCATCTTAGTGCATTGTGATGGATTAATTTTACATATACTGCACTAACAAAATAATTAGAAGGAAAAATTAGGCTATAACCATAATCCAATTATAACATGGAGAACTATGATATTCACATGATGCGTAATAACATTTCCTAAACAGAAATGAGATGTACTTTGTTATCAATTAATTGGAGGCTTTTAACAAACAATATTTTTAAACTATTTATCGACATCCCAACTAACACTTGTTAAAATGTTGAGATTTATATTCACTAACATTAACAAGACAAGGTCTTGATTATATAATTTGAAAATTATACTCATAATTTAAATACTAATTTCGCAACATCAGGTTGCGAATACCATACAATCATCTAGTATATTTATCAAATCTATTATATACAATAATATCTAGATGATCAATGTGGAGGGTGATGGGACTCAATTTATCATTCTGATTAATTTTTAGAAATATAGGGAAATCAATCCCTACTTAATTAGTGATGGTTAATGAAAAATTTTTATGAAAGAGAACAAATATCATATAGGATTTTATTGGATCAAAGAATCTTCCGGTTCTTCATTTAATGTCCATTTGAATTTTTAATTTCATATCATTATTGATCCAGTGATGGTCCAACTGGTCATGCCAAACAAATTGAACATCTGGTTCAATATAAGATATAATTCAATTATTTAGTTTCGAAAAATATGATTAAACATTATATAATAATATAATAATTAATGTCCACACGACATAAGTCGTATATTTTCCTTCGAGGATAAATACAAATTCATAAATTAAATATGATATATTCTTCAAAATATGTGTTATTTCTAGAGTACGTTGTATTTTATGATCGCTTCTTCTAAAGAAATATTCTCCTGAAATATTGAAAATAATAATCCCACGCTTTTCAAGAGCAATCACATATTATTATAATAAATTATATAATGATTTGTTGTTCATGTTAAAAATAATAATTTATGTTAAATCATATTTAATTATACTATTCAGGATCGAGTAAAATTTAACTAAATTATTTGTCAATAATAGTATGCTACTTCATGAGCACGTAATATTCTTATAGAATATCAATTATAACAATTTACTATTTCAGGAGTAATAACAAACTATTATTTAGAAATATCAATTCTTCAAGAGTATATTTTCTAATATAATGTAATATTTACAAAATTGTGATCTTCAGAAGTAACATGTTAATAGTTTTCAGGAATATTGGAAATTCATACTCTTCAAGAGTAATAGTATAATATTATTTTAAATATTGTATGTGTGAATTTGTGATTATTCAGTAGCAACAAATAATGCAAATATAATATTCTTTTTTAACAATATTACAATATTCTTCGGGAATATTGATTTAGAATCTTTCATTTCAAGAATAATATAGAATATTCTTCTAAAATATTGTATTGGAATATTGAACAAAAAAAATATATTCAAATAAATATTTATCTATTATAAATTGGTATAGTCAAATCGCGATATATCTGATCGAATAACTATGTTGTTGTTTTATATAATTTAAAGTTAAAAGAATACTTACATTTTCATTGAGCAGATTAAAAGAGTTTATTTGTAAACTTAATTAGCTACAACTTCTTGTCTTTTTTTTTTTTGTTTATTGAAGAAAAAAATTCTATCTCAACAAACTAAAAATTTGCAAGCAAAGAGAGATAAATTTTGTTAACTCAATTGGTTAGAACTTCGTGCAAAGAAATGAGAAGAGAATATAGAAAAGTCAATAAATCTGTATGTTAAAGCTAGGGACGATCGCAGAGTTTTAAAGTTAGGGAGACACAATCGAACTTGCAAAAAAAGTTGGGAGAAATTTTACAATCGAAAATTTACGTCCAAAAAAATCATACCCCTTGAAATTTTGTATCCGAAAATTTACATGAGATATAACTTTTTCAAATGTAAAATTTCGAAAATTTTTGATGTTATATTCCATATAAAATTTCCTAATAAAATGATGAAAATTATATTGAAAAATTTGTATCGCAAAAATAATAAATGTCAATGAAATAATTGAATTTTTTTTTAAAAAAAATGCGAGTTAAACGTCTTTGTTTAGGACTCACATTTAACGTATTTTTAACTATTTTCAATATCTGTTTGGACTATTCGATATGCTNACAAATGTTAATGATATAATTGATTTTTTTTTTTTTTAAATGTGAGTTAGAAGCCTTTTTCTAATACTCACGTTTTACATATTTTTAACTATTTTCGATATCTGTTTGGATTATTCGATATGCTCATAATGTAGTTCTCAAAATAAGCTTTGAGCTGATATAAGCAATTTGTAGATTCGATTAGCGTAAGTTCGTCGAAAATTTTTTAAAATTAGCATGTTATCGAAATTCAAAGTTATTGTGATTTTGCCCCTGATTGGTGAAGATTAAAATCAAATTTTTAGTAATTTTGAAAAAAGTTAAACAGTTATGAATTTCATGAAATATGTTATTAAAATTAATTGTTAACTTTGATTTAAATTAAAATTTAGATTTCAATCGATACCAAACATGACTTTAAAAAAAAAAACTCGAAAGTTGGGGGGGAGGGGGTGCACGTGCCCCCCAGGACCCCCTAAGTCCTCCCGTGGTTAAAGCCTCATATTTATAGAGAAGTATTAGAGATATAATAATAATAATTTCTAGGACGGTAGGTATACAATTGCCATTCACTAATAAACTTATCATTTACAGCAATATAACAAATATGGTCTTATTTTTCAGTAAATTTTGGAGAAGGAAAAAAAAAAGAAGTAACAAATCAAAAATTTGACAAAGTATTTGTCCTCATTTAAAACAAGTTAAAATAATATTCCAGCGTAAAGTTTCATCGGAATTAAAATATGCTAATTGATTGAAAGTTAAGAATAAATTTCATCGGAATTAAAATATGCTAATTGATTGAAAATTGATGAAAATAAAGAGACAATAGACAGAGATGCACAATTATGGTCCTTATCCATAAACACCGGCCCACTTTAAAGTACTGTATTCCCATGTACTGGGTCCGTCACTGCGATGAAGGCCATTTTCTTGATCAGTTGATCATTATCCTCTCCATTACAGAAACCAGATTATGTATCCCAGGCTAATTTTATTAAAATGTGCAACTTTAGTGTTGTTAATTTTCCGCAGGATGGCTTTATCACACAACGTCATTGAGACTCTGCCAGGATATCCTGGCAAACTTCCATTCAGACTTGAAACTGGGTAAGCCTCTCTTTATCATTTTCCTCCAACAAAATAAGCAGTTATCTGATGTTCTTTTGCTATACTTTAAGTTATATTGGTATAGGAGAATCTGAAGAAGTGCAGCTATTTTATTACTTCATCGAGTCTGAAAGGAACCCAAAAGATGATCCCTTAATTATTTGGCTCACTGGAGGCCCGGGTTGTTCTGGTCTCTCAAATCTTATATATCAGACGGGTATGTTTCTTGTCTTTAGTGCTGTATTTTTGGGTACGTTTCTTGTCTTTAATACTGTATTTTGCCCAAAATTGAATTTGCTATTTTCCCTTACCAGTTAACTGAAATCTTACCGCCACCTATTTTTGAAAATTATGTAGATCATAATAAGGCCTTTGATAAAAATAATTATGGCATCCGTGTTATCATTATGTACAAATAGCATTACTCTTATGTTTACATAGAGCTTGAATGAAGTCGTGGATGGATTGAAAATTTTACATCTTCCTTGTTTTTTTTTTTTGGTGGTTGGGGAGGGGCAACAATGTGAACTTCTCAATAATTTCTTAACAATCAAAAGGAACACACAAATTAATTAGTCCAGGATAGAAAAATGTATAAATCGAAGTGCTCCATTAATTCCAACTACATTCAAATTTGATCTACTTTGGCTTAATGAGATTTACAGGAGCATAGCACAAACTGCTCGAGATTCATGCTCCATTACACGTCACATTTGTAGGGCAGTGTTTGATATTCATGTTCACGTGTAGGCCCCTTCACCATTGACTATGCCAACTCCAGTGGGAGTCTACCAGCACTGGTATACAACCCATACTCGTGGACGAAGGTTTGAAACTTGATCACTTTACATTGGTGGTGATTAAAAGCATAAGTCTCTGATTTCATAGTTTCTGTATCTTTAGGAATGAATCTGCTATAATTTTGTAGGTGGCAAATATTATATACATAGATCAGCCGGCTGGCACTGGATATTCATATGCAAAAACTTGGGAAGCATACAACACTAATGATACGCTGTCAGCAGCACGTACTTATGAGTTCCTCAGGAAGGTAAGGACTGAGGATAATCTATAAGTAATTTAAAATGTCTTTAAGTGGGAACTCGACATGGAATACATTGATTTCTACTGTTGAAGTTTCCGTTACTACATGCTTGATGTATAACATTAAGCTAATAGCTCCAGCGTACTAATTTCAGCACGACGTGGTGGAGAAGTTTTTGTGCAAAAATTAACAGAGTTTGATTTTTTTTTTTGGTGTTGCAGTGGCTAATATATCATCCCAAATACCTCAACAATCCACTTTATATTGGTGGTGAATCTTATAGTGGCCTCGTTGTTCCACTTCTTGTTAACAATATATACAATGGTAAAGTAGCTTATGTGTCGTTATATTTCAAAAGCAAAAAAAAAGACCAAAATTTCCATTAGATAAAGCTATGTAACTAATGAATTATGTTTTCTAATTCCTTATCATACTCGTGGCTGTCCAATTGGAACCTGAAGCATTTACATGTAAATCTAAGTTCTTGGTTTGAAGATGGCATTTAGATTTCTCCATTCTCTGATTTTCTTCTATTTTCTCTTTCCATTGGTAGCTATTGAAGCTGGAAGTCAACCACCCTTGAATATGAAGGTATAAAACTGATGACCTGGATCTGTTAGTTTGTTATAATACTATACCACTGTTGAAGTAGTCTCTATAAATTATTAAGCCAATACTCTTTGAATTAAATGCAGGGATATGTGCAAGGAAATCCTGCAACAAACAAGTACTGGGACACCAATGAAAGAATCCCTTATGCTCACCGAATGGGACTCCTGTCTGATAACCTTTTCAAGGTAATTCTAAAAGCCAAATCGAGAATATTAAGAAGGGAAGTTTACGAAACACACCCTTTATATAGGGTGTAATTCTACTTTGCATACAATGTTATTGGAAAATACAATTTACCTACTATTGTGTCATTAGCGTTAAACAAATAACATATTTGGTCAAGTCTCCAAAAGTACACTTTATCTACAGTGGTTTTAGAAATAGTGATTACCATATTGCTATTTGATGAGCTTTTGGAAATTACACTTTGCATAACTTAATTCTAGAAATTGCACTTACGAAATAGTAGTACATAGATTGTAAATCCTGATAATATTGTATTTGAAATGTAAATATCTCTCTATATAGGATATGTTCTTTATCTTTTTCCAATTTTTTTGACATAAGTTCACAATAATGTTTTTAAAACAAAAGTGTGTAAATTAATTTCAGTAAATAGGGTATTTGAAGTTTAACAACTGTCTATGTACAAGGTGTTTTGTAAATTTCCTTATTATGAACTTTCATGTGACAACCTGTAAAAGTTATATGCCTCTTAAGATTGGTTCTCGATTCCACTGCATCTCATCGAAACGGAAGAAGTTGCAAGAGAAATATTTGCCTTTTTATGATATTTCATAAAGCTATGACTGAGCTGCAAACTTTCAAGGATGTGGTCTCTCAGTAATTGTAACATTATTCGCTTCCTCTGAACACTTTTATTCCTTATCATTACCAACTTCAATGTATAATATTTTTCTCTCTTTTTTTATAGTCAGTGAAGGAAAGCTGCAAAGGAAATTACGTTCATGCAGATCCAAACAATGTTCTATGTCAGAGAAATCTTGAAAGGGTATCAGAGGTGAGCATGGTTAAGTGCTTAACTTCACTCACTATCGTACGTATCTCTATGGTTTCCTTAGGAATGAATCTGCTATAATTTTGTAGGTGGCAAATATTATATACATAGATCAGCCGGCTGGCACTGGATATTCATATGCAAAAACTTGGGAAGCATACAACACTAATGATACGCTGTCAGCAGCACGTACTTGTGAGTTCCTCAGGAAGGTAAGGACTGAGGATAATCTATAAGTAATTTAAAATGTCTTTAAGTGGGAACTCGACATGGAATACATTGATTTATACTCTTGAAGTTTCCGTTACTACATGCTTGATGTATAACTAAGCTAATAGCTCCAGCGTACTAATTTCAGCACGACATATTTGAGAATTTTTTGTGCAAAAATTAACAAAGTTTGATTTTTTTTTTGGTGTTGCAGTGGCTAATATATCATCCCAAATACTTCGACAATCCACTTTATATTGGTGGTGACTCTTATAGTGGCCTCGTTGTTCCACTTGTTGTTAACAATATATACAATGGTAAAGTAGCTTATGTGTCGTTATATTTCAAAAGCAGAAAAAAGACCAAAATTTCCATTAGAAAAAGCTATGTAACTAATGAATTATGTTTTCTAATTCCTTATCATACCCGTGGCTGTCCAATTGGAACCCTGAAGCATTTATGAGTAAATCTAAGTTCTTGGTTTGAAGATGGCATTTAGATTTCTCCATTTTCTCTGATTATCTTCTATTTTCTCTTTCCTTTGGTAGCTATTGAAGCTGGAAGTCAACCACCCTTGAATATGAAGGTATAAAACTGATGACCTCTGTTAGTTTGTTATAATACTATACCACTGTTGAAGTAGTCTCTATAAATTATTAAGCCAGTACTCTTTGAATTAAATGCAGGGATATGTGCAAGGAAATCCTTTGACAAACAAGTACTGGGACTACAATGAAAAAATCCCTTATGCTCACCGAATGGGACTCTTGTCTGATAACCTTTTCAAGGTAATTCTACAAGCCAAATCGAGAATATTAAGAAGGGAAGTTTACGAAACACACCTTTTATATAGGGTGTAATTCCACATTGCATACATTGTTGTTGGAAAATACAATCTACCTACTATTGTGTCATTAGCGTTAAACAAATAACATATTTGGTCAAGTCTCCAGAAAGTACACTTTATCTACAATGGTTTTAGAAATAGTGATTACCATACTGCTATTTGATGAGCTTTTGGAAATTACACTTTGCATAACTTAATTCTAGAAATTGCACTTACGAAATAGTAGTATATAGATTGTAAATCCTGATAATATTGTATTTGAAGTGTAAATATCTCTCTATATAGGATATGTTCTTTATCTTTTTCCAATTTTTTTGACATATACTGTCACAATAATGTTTTTAAAACAAAAGTGTGTAAATTAATTTCAGTAAACAGGGTAGTTGAAGTTTAACAACTTTCTATGTACAAGGTGTTTTGTAAATTTCCTTATTATGAACTTTCATGTGACAACCTGTAAAAGTTATATGCCTCTTAAGATTGTTCTCAATTCCACTGCATCACATCGAAACGAAAAAAGTTGCAAGAGAAATATTTGTCTGTTTATGATATTTCATAAAGCTATGACTGAGCTGCAAACTTTCAAGGGTGTGGTCTCTCAGTAATTGGAACAATATTCACTTCCTCTGAACACTTTTATTCCTTATCATTACCAACCTAATGTATAATATTTTTCTCTCCTTTTTATAGTCAGTGAAAGAAAGCTGCAAAGGAAATTACGTTCATGCAGATCCAAACAATGTTCTATGTCAGAGAAATCTTGAAAGGGTAGCAGAGGTGAGCATGGTTAAGTGCTTAACTTCACTCACCATCGTACGTATCTCTATGGTTTCCTGTGTTCTAAGAACAATATGTGGTTTTTGATGTGTAGTGTCTCGATAGAATACGTACACCACACATTTTAGAACCATGGTGTTCATTGATGTCAAAGAAACGGGATTTGCTTTCATGGGATTCAAGTTTGGAAGAGGAAACCAAAGATCTCTTACGATCAATGAATCCTTTTAAAAGATCATGGTGTCGAGTAATATTCATTTACTTTCACCAGCCCTTTCCTTCATAGACATTTTTGTACCAGTTTGATGTAGTCACAGTGTTTTAACGTGGTGCAGCCTGATAATTACGTGTACTCGTACATATGGGCTAATGATATATCTGTACAAAAAGCTCTTCATGTTTCTGAGGTATGCCAATCAATGGGTATGAAATACATTTTCAAAGTTCTCTTTTCTTTATGAGATCATAATTGTGTGACAATGATAACCAACAGGGAACAATAAAGGAGTGGCTGAGATGTAACATGAGCATGCATATACGTCCAGGGAAGCAGCATGGATGTTATGTGTTCGATGTCCAAAGTACTGTGGAATACCACCGGAATTTCACCCATAAGCACTGTAGAGCTTTAATTTTCAGGTGATATCCACTTTATCTAACCCTGTTTTATACATAATTATCTGAACTCACCTCACCCCTGTTTATAGTGTATTGCAAAGAACTACTAGCAAACCCCTCCATTTAGCATTCTGATATACACAAATGATACTGGTTTAAACCTCATTACAGTCAATTTATTTTGTCTACTTTATATATAGATTTCGCAGTGGAGATCACGACATGGTCGTTCCTCACACAGGCACTGAAAAATGGATAGATTCGCTTAACTTGACTGTTCAAAGTGACTGGAAACCATGGTTTGTAGAAAGTCAAGTTGCAGGGTTAGTCCTTGAGAGTCCATCAGACAAGCAATTTTTTTTTTTTTTCCTTGGTTCAGTTTGAGGATTTTTTGTTTCTTCGCAGGTATACATACAGAGCAGTATTCGCATAATGACTATCAGTTGACTTATGCAACTGTGAAGGTGAGAAATGTTCTGTTTTTATAGTACTATAAATTTTACATTTTCAAGTAAGATATATTGTCCTGGAAAATTTGCCACGAATGCATCCGTAAATGGCGTTGAATATTCAAGTGCCCTGGTGCTGCTCATTTCTACTTTAAAAGATGTCAATTTTTTTGCTTTGTTGGCTCGGCTTTCTTTGAATTTTGTTTGGACCTTTTGTAGGGGGCTGGTCATACAGCGGCTGAATACAACCCCGTACAATGCTTTGCCATGGTTGATAGGTGGTTTTCTGAGCTCCCCCTTTAATTCACCGCAGCACAGCAGAGGCTACAAGCGAGGAAATCATCCAGAGTTTGGAAGATCACGACCCTTTGAACGTGTTTGATTATGTTGTGCTTCTTTGTATTTTGTCCGTCTAAAAGTCACTTTCTATGCATTGTGAAATCACATTTCCTGAATAAAGCGTATTCAAGTTGTAATTTGCTATTGTGATTGAATAAAATGCACTTCTTTCTTCTTCGTGAATACTTTGTCTTCGTCATGCATCTCTTACTTCATCTACCATAAACCAAAGGTCTAAATCGGTTAATCTAAACGCGGAGTTTCCGACGGTAGCGAGTGGAGGTGGATATTGACTGTGACTTGGGGTCATTCTTTGTGTCTTTTACTTCATGATGACTAAGGGCCAATTAACAACCTGATCTGTACAACGGATAGGAGAAGAAGAAAATGTATTTTTTTTCCTTTATAGTGCTTTTACCTTTTAAGACAAAACTCTAAATCAACTTTCTTAATAACACTGGTACAAACAACAACAATAATATGCAAGTAGTGTAATAACAAGAAAAGTAATTTTCAAAAAAAGTACGAAGAAAGAAGTAAATATGAAACAATCCATGAGTAATTTGTGTGATTTCCTATTTTTTTTTCTCCCAAGGCCTGATGGACAAAACAATAATCAAGATGATGATCAACAAGAGAATGATCCCAAAACAAGTCCATTTTCTGGTATTTTTCTGGTGTTTCCTAGCCACCTCCAGCTGATGAGTTCCTCCTCTAACAAAGGAATTGGCTCGAATCACATGGCTCTCAATGTCATCTAATTGCTCACCCTGGCTCTGAACCAAAACAGCCATGTCCATGAAAACTTGGTGCAATTCCCTCAGATTCTTCTCCATTTCCTTCACTGCATCGTGCCTTTCTTGAATCTCCATTATAGTGTCCATTACCTGTCCTCTGCCCTGTTCCTGTATCGCCTTTTGGAGAAAAGTTTCGCTTTCACCTGTTTCAATTAGATTATCAAGGATTTTTTCATCTGGGTTTTCCCCTGTAACTGTGTAGTACCTTCTCTGAACTGTTTCTCTGTACTCGGAGTTCATCTTCTGTCTCAGGTCATTGAATCGGTTCATTATATCCTGAAGTTTTTTCCTCAGCCCGTTAACGACAGAGGTTCTTGTCCGATCCGACGAGCTCCCGGGTCCACAACCCGGGATGCTCCGATTAGCAGCGTTGGCTCTATCCAAAGCCTCTAATCGGACCTTGATAACTTTCGCCTTTTTCAACGATATAGAGATGTCGTTGTCCATTTTCGCCCGTAGGTCTTTCACGGTCTTGGCGTTGTGCAGGGTTTTGCTCTGCTCGTGGGCGGCTTGGAGTTGACTATAGAGCGTTTCGAGGTCCCGGAGTTCGTCCTTGATGGCCTCGACATCTTCGAAAAACTTGTCAAGATTGATGCCGCCTGTGGATGGCGACTGTGTCATCTCTACAACATGGGAATTTGGCGGCGGCGATTGATCTTGGTTCCGGATACGTGAGAAAGATCCTGAGAAAAGATCATTCATTTTTGGGGTATTGGATGTGGATCGGATGGTGTTCTGGTATGTGATTAATGCTGTAAACCAAGAAAAAGCTGGATAAAAAGTTTGGTGATCGAATTGATTTTAGTATGATGAATCGTGGCGTGGGGTGGGGTGTGCAGGCGAGGAGCTTGAATGGGTAAAAGGAGACTAGTCAAAGGAGGAGTCGCCTAGTTCAACAACTTGATTTTGTATTGGGAGAAAATGGAGAAATAAAAGTCAACTGATTTTGATATGTAAAGAGGGGGAAATATCATGGCAAGAGGAAGGAAAAGTTGGGTAGGGGAGGAAAATGTCATAATCATTACTCGTGGGCCCTTTTTAATATAACTTGAATTATGGATGACGCCGTTGTGAGGGTGAACGAAAAAATCGTTTGATTGGTCAAAATTGATAATCTATGAATTCAATGCGCGTGGCTTCCCTTCTGGTGATAGTTGCCCGACCTAGGAGACTTCCCATGTCGAGGTTGAAATCAAGACGACTTCATCGATAATGTCACCTTAAATCGGGGTTAAAACTCGAGCCATGGGTAACTCTTCAATATAGATCATGTTTTGCTCTAGGTTTTGTAGTTCCCACCCAATAATTCTAGGTTAGGAGGATTATGCGTGATTCGCTTATGATATGATGGACTAGGAATTCTCGTGGAGCTACGAGTTTTGGTCGAATTGTATGTTTTGGTTGTGGAATCATGCTACAGCCACGTGGTATTCCATCATTGGAATGTTTTATACATAGTTGACTTTTCTATCAAATTATCTGCTGTTATATCGAATTATGTTATTGCGTCTTTTAAACTTCTTTTGGCAAAGTGGCAAAATCCTTGGTTATGAGTAGTAATTTTCCATGTTTGATGCTTAATAGGACTTATGATAGAGTCCAAGTAAGATTAGGTTGTCATACGTGTCTAGATCTTGCTCTAGGTTATGCCTCGAGTTGTCCCGTAAGCCAAGCACTTCGAGCTGAAGTGGTCAAAGTTCTCATGGGATACGTGCAGGGTGACCTCGGGGTTGAGGAACGGTCTTCTTGTTTTATAAACATCATGAGATTTGAACTTTTTCATTACATGGACAGCTACCAAGTTCATTGACCAAGATAATAGTACTAGCAGTAAAAATAACCATAGCGTTCTACCATCAATGCAGATTTTGTAAAATGTGGATTTCTAAATTCTGCAATCTAATAAGTTCTCTACAAAAGAACGATGACTTAGTGTTAGAATGATTCGTACATAATTATGGGAGATCTTAGTGTGTCATATGATTTTGTTAATGATAGGANGAACAAAACAAAGGCAGCAGCAGGAAGCCATCACCGCTCTGATACCGTGTTGAGAAATTAAAGGGAACGAAATCAGAGCACAGCTGAAATGATCATAAACTAAAACCAGCAAGAAACGAATCAGAAATTGAAGGGATAGAACCTGCTATTACAGCAGGGAAGAAGATGAAAATTATATTCATTCAACTTGAGGATATTTCAATGCAATATATTCTATTTATAAAGAAAATAGCTGACAAATTATCTAACAAACTAATAGGAAGAAGGATCTAGAATAAATGCTGAGATGGAACACTGCTGGACAATTGGAGCTGCACCTGAGCTGAGCTTGGCTTGAATTGAAGCTGGGGGTATTCTAACATGAGCCATGGGTAACTCTTCAATATAGATCATGTTTTGCTCTAGGTTTTGTAGTCCCCACCCAATAATTCTAGGTTTGGAGGATTATGATACATGATTCGTTTTTGATATGATGGACTAGGAATCCTCGTGGAGCTACGAGTTCTGGTCGAATTGTATGTTTTGGTTGTGGAATCATGCTACAGCCACATGGTATTCCGTCATTGGAATGTTTTATACACAATCAACTTTTCTATCAAATTATTTGCTGTTATATCGAATTATGTCACTGCGTCTTTTGAACTTCTTTTAGCGAAGTGGCAAAATCCTTGGTTATGAGTAGTAATTTTCCATGTTTGATGCTTAATAGGACTTATAATAGAGTCCAAGTAAGATTAGGTTGTCATAGACATCTTGTCTAGATCTTGCTCTAGGTTATGCCTCGAGTTGTCCCGTAAGCCAATTATGAGGCACTTTGAGCTTAAGCGGTCAAAGTTCTCATGGGATACGTGCAGGGTGACCTCGGGGTTGAGGAACGGTCTTGTTGTTTTATAAGCATCATAAGATTTGAACTTTTTAATTACATGGACAGCCACCAAGTGCATTGACCAAGATAATAGTACTAGCACATGAATCTGATATCAAAGAAATGCCCCATGACTACTAACAGTAAAGATAACCATAGTGTTCTACCATCAATACAGATTTTGTAAAATGTGGGTTTCCAAATTCTACTATCTAATAAGTTCTCTACAAAAGAATGAGGACTTAGTTGTTGATCAAGCTCTTATTTCTTGTATGCAGTCTAAAACACAATGCTGTCAAGGTGCTTTCTTCAGACACTTTACGGACTTACAAGATTGATGGTACAATTTGTTGTTGGCTACGATCATCGATCAATGTCTCTTTGGTTTTCTTATGATTGATCGAAATTCCATGCTTAACTTAATGAAATACGCTATTAGTGCTGCTTGGAGTTTCTGATTGATGATCATATGATTGACTTTTAGCTGTTGATGCATATATCTCTTATCGATTCAACAAGCTCGTAACTTTTTAGCAGTACAAAGTGTGGAAAATTAGGAGGCAACTCGTGGGAGGTACAAATAATCTTGAACCAGATTCTACAATGCAAACAATCCATCGACATTAAGATGAGTCACATTATTCAACTGTGAGGGGAACCAAATTGCGTAGTTTTTGGCAAACAGAGGTTTTATTAAGAAGAAAAATGTTGAATGATAAGTGTATTAGGGGTCTAAAATAACAATATTTGATAGTTTTTTTCACAAAATATATCCTAATTTTTTGTATTTTAATTTATATAGGTAAAATTCAATGGTTGGACGAGGATTGGAAAGAAAAAAGAGAAAAATGGTGAAAAATGGCACAATTCAAAGTTTGAGGATCAAATTGCAAATTCAATAGTTGATTTGGACCATAAGATGATACTTTGAAGATGTCTATGAGACAATTGGGTGGAATTAGAACTCAAAAAGGAATGGAATTCGTCACAATCAAGTCCAATCGTACAAGTTATATTCCAGATT